GGCTTAGGATAGGGCAAGGTTCAGACCTAATGCACGTAGGGTTGATATGAGTCACTGGGGACTCAATGGCACATAGCAACAAACATGGGCATCACCTATTCAATCTGTATGTTGAGCATGTCATTCCAGAAGCTGGCACAGATTAAGAAGAATATGGCATCGAAGGAAGACTTATTAACCATCAACATTATGCTGATGACAGAACCTTGCTTACTCAAAGTTAGTATGACTTGAAAACCTTGTTGCAGAAGATCAACGATTATACTTTGCAATACGGATTACATCTCATCATCAAGAAAACAAAAATCATCACCATGGGACCAATGAGTAACATCATGATAGATGGGTGAAAAAATTGAAGTTGTCAACAACTTCATTTTACTGGAATCTACAATCAACATTCAGAGTAACACTGATCAAGGAATCAGAAGATGTGTTGCACTGGCAACAACAGGCAATATCATGAAAGATGAAGAAAAGGCCGATTTATTTTTTGTGCTATCATTTAGAAAATGAAACACTTCTGCGTAAAGCCCTGTTACTGGTGCTGGGAACAGAAGGCTATGGCATTTAATGTAAGACAAAATGCATAGCTTCACTATAAAAAAAGTGAAATTACCCCCTCTCTATTAGTGGATTTCGACTCATGATGACACTCCCAGATTGGGTTTATGAGGGGGCAAAGATTTAAAGAGACGGTCTATCTTTCTCCAGACAAACAGTTGGTGGATTTGAACAGCCAACATTTTAGCAGGCAGTCCAACACTTTACTCACTAAGTCATTAAGGCTCCCCTTAAGAGTTCTAAACAATGTTATTTACTTAGCTAACAACTAACCATGAAAACCAACTCTTAAATGCCTCTACATACTTGGCCAGTGTTGTTATTATGTGCTGTCAAGGTGGAACTAACTTAGAGCTGACCCTCTAGTGTGTTTCCAGAGGCTATAACCTACAGGGGAAGAGAGTGAACATCTTTCTCCTGTGAAACAGCTGATGGATTTGAACCACATGCTTTTGGGTTGCCAGTGCAGCTGCTTACCATCAGGCCGTACACTAAATGCCTGATAACCTAAGATGAGCTATAATCCAGGGTTACTACTTTTTATTTTTTTGTCCTTTTGAGACCTTCCATTGCTAGAGATAGCACAGGCCCCAGAGATCAAATCTTGAAGCCACCTCTGAAAGAGGAAATAGTCTCAATTGCAAAACATTGCTGTCATCTTGAAAAAGGAGATGATCAGAGGCAAGAGGTCAAGTGAGAATGCAACAGCTTCTGCCTGTGAGGTGTGACTTCACACCACCACAACTACCTTCTTCTCTCAGGCCTTTTCTACTAGCAAACTCCAGGTCTCTGAGATCATTAACAAGGGGGGATAAGAGGTACTATTTAGACACAGTTTAAGAGTTAAGTTTGCATAAGATGAAGAGTATGTCTGCCAGAAAGGAGCCCTGTTGGCTCAGCTGGTAAGTGTCTACCTGTCAGCTGGAAGGTCGCTGGTACAAACCTGTCAGGAGAACGAGGATGTGGTCATCTGCTTCCACTATGACTACAGCCTTGAGAATGCCATGGGGCAGCTGTAATGCCCTTTGGCATGAAAGGTGTATCACTGTTGATGTCAGATGTATCTTAGTAGAAAGTAGAGATTATTAGAAAGATTTTATTGATTATGCAAAGGCATCTGACTCTGATTGTGTTAATCATAACAAAACATAGCTAACTGAAAAAAACAAAAAACAAAAAACCAGGAGTTCCAGGACACTTAATTGTGCTCACACAAAATCTATACCTACACCAAGAAGTTTTCTGAACATGGTTTAAAATCTGGAAATGTGTGCATCAGGGCTGTAGCCTTCTCTACAAATTACTAGAGTAGTTTGACTCTCTGAAGAAGAATATGCCATTAAGATTGGAGGAAAACTCATCAACCACCTCCATTGTGCAGACAACATATGCTTGATTGCTGACAGTGAAGAGGACTTGAAACACTTGCTGTAAAAGATCAAAGACTACAGCCTTCAATAGGGATGATCTCTTATACATCAAGAAAACAAAATTCTTGACAATGGATTCTTGACAACGGGCAACATCACGATCAATGAAAGAAAAGATTGAACTTATGAACAATTCCATTTTACTTGGATCCACAATCGACATTCACAGTAACAGCAGCCAAGGAATTAAGATGTGTTGCACTAGAAAAAATTGCTAAGGACCTCCCTACACTGCTGAAGAGTAAGGGAAGGACATAAGTTTAAAGTCTAAGGACACTTGACCTAAGCCATGAATTACTTCCTAAGAATCTGAAAGGTGGACAATGAATCAATGACAGAGACGAATCAATGACTTTACACTGGTTTTGGATAGTGCATATCCCATGGACTGCAAAAAGAACAAGCAAGCATGTCTCGGAGGAAGTGTAAGCAGAGTGTTACTTAGAAGGAAGGCTGGTGAAACCTTATCTCGCCTACTTTGGGCAATGCTGGTAGAGGAGGGACCAGTTCTTGGAAACAGGTTATCATGCCAGGAAAGGTGAAGGGTCAGAGAAAGGACAGACGACACAGAGATGGGTTGACAGTTACTGTAACAATGCATTAGCAGAGATACTGAGTACAGTGTACTGCAGAATAGGGCAAGGTTCAAATCTGTTGTTCACAGGGTCACTATGAGTCACAGGGGACTTGATGGCTCCCAACAACGACAAATGTGGAAATGTGCAATGAGCCCTCAGGATATGACAAATGCAATATCCTTTAATCTCATCTCAGTTCTGGCTGGATCAAAACTGACTAAGGTGTGGCCTGTTAACATCTTTTATAGGAGACAAAAGGAAGGAAATGGAGTCAACACAGGGTGCTTCAGTAATACCAAGTATGAATCCTCAGAAGTGGAATGTTTTCTAAGATGCCTGCACTGGCAGCTCCTTCATGAGAAAGGCCAGACCACATGGAGATTTCTAAGAGAACTTTTCAAGAAAGAGACAGAGGATGAGAGAGAGGGAGAGCGAGTGAGAGAGACACAGACAGAGACAGAGAGCATGTGCGCATGTGTATGCAAGTGCCTTCTCCTAGAGAACCCTGAATCTGGGTTTTGAGTCCAAATTTTAAGAGAATGCTTTTCCATTTGTTAAAGATGTCCACTTGGGTACCTCTGGTGGAGCAGCACCAGATAACTCAGACTTTAGGCTCAGCATTCGGATTTATACTTGGGGTGGTCTGGGGTTCTTTTCATGTCTTAGTTCACCAATGGTGTACTTCATCAGTGTTGTACTTAATGACCGTTTGTCCCTAAACGTCAATATCACTGGGGACACTGGATAGAAAAGGGGTCTCTCAATAAAAAAATTATCTGATGATTCCACAGTGTAAAGCCAATTTTTTTTTAAAAGTCTCTTAAACTCTATCATAAAACGCTTCAAGATAAAGATGATGGGCTTCAGTCCTTCTAGGTGCTTAACACCCAGTAGAGTATTAAGACCACAACATTATTCAATGATATTTGGCTAATTTGTATTGACAACATATCGTTGATGCCAAATAGTTTTTCAACATCATTAGTGGTAAGAAATGAGATAGGCTTTCTTTTAAGCCTCGTTAACAACAGCAGCGTAACAGAAAACATCCTTCCTCCTTTCTTTGATCTTAGATTTTCAACTGTAAAACAAGTTAATTGTAAGGTTAATGCTTAAATACATGATTATTTTAGAATTAACTTCCTCGATCAGCATTTCTTCCTGGCTCGCTCCATGTGCTTTACAATTCATGCATCATAGGCCAAAACAAGAGAGAAAATACAATTCTGGCAGCAAGTTTATGTCAAAATCGCACTGCATAATTTTTAAGTGTGTACTGTGGTGTGTGTGTGTAATGATTCCTTGCAGGGACTATTTTCAATATTTATTTGATTGTGGAGGGATTACTAAGTGTAGGCAAAGTGGGAGGCACAAAGTTGCCCTTACTGGTTTGAAACGGAAACATTAGTAATCAGTGTCAAATGAAGTGATTTCTTTCCTTCCTTTAAAAATTCATTGGGAGTTAAAAAAAAACACAAAAAAAACCCCCACAAACCCAAACCAAAAAACAAAACAAAACAAAAAACCAACCCCAAACTAAAAAACCAACCAACCAAAACAAAAAAAAACAAACCCTGAGAAATAAGCCAAAACAAGAGCTAGAATTATTAAAGATGATTTTTATTTTGTATTTTCAAAATTTTTGTGATTAGCTAATAGCTAAATAAAATATTAGCTCAATTATTATAAGTCAATCTCTTAGGCACCAAAGATGAGGTAGTCCAGCAAGTCCTGAGGCAGGAGCTGTTAGTGCTGTCAGGTGCCTCTGAGTCGCCTACGACTCACAGCAACTCTGTAAAGAACAGGTCAAACCCCAGCCCGATCCTCCCAATGTGCCAGGCAGAAGCCCACTGCGGCAGCCACTGTGCCAATCCATCCCACTGGGGTCTTCTTCAAGAGAAGTCTTAAAAGTTTTTGTAACTCTGTCATACAGTCTTCCTTACTTCTCAATATAAATAGAAGTATTTTCAGTTCCCTGATCCAAGAATAAGATCTTTCAGCTGCTTTTCAAACCTAATTTATAGATTTATAGATTCAAGTACGATAGCTGAGATAGGAAATAAGAAATCAGAGGTCTGGGTTTGACTTTCTGTTTCACTTTTATTATATAAACTCAGGTAAATTAACTTCATTCCTATGAAAGGGAGATAAAGTTACATGGTTTGTGAAAGGATAAAATAAGATTCTATACAAAACAGCTGTAATGAGTAAAATCTCTGTAACATTTGCATCTCTTAATGCTTTCTTTTTTAAATTTCTTTTTTTTAAAAATGCTTGCTTTCTGACTCAACTATCAGCCTGATATCCCTGTGTCCATTTCTACTCATGGTCCACATTTCTTTAGTTTTAGGTTGTATACAGCCTGTGATGGGAGCTTATTGATAGCGGATTGAGTGGTCCATCAAGGAACGCCCAGGATGATACTTACCTTGCTCTTCTTACTGCTAGACATTTTGTTCTTGATGTAGCTGAATGTACGACTGACTGTTGTTCCACTCTTCTTTTCAAAATCTTTCTTGGGAAGACTTGGTGGGTAGTTTTCTTCGGTTATACTATATAAAAACAAAACCACTGATATTTTTTTGAGGACTAAAGACATCAACTTAAAAGCCCCTGAAAATATCATATATGTCATTACTTTGTAAGTAACATTGCCATATAGTTCCCCTGTGTTACATGCTATGTTGTTGCTATGTGCCGTCGAGTCGCCTGTGACTCATAGCGACCCTATGTACAACAGCCCTAAACTCCGCTCTGTCCTGTGCCAATCACACTGTCTCTGACACTCCCATCCCAATTATCCCAGTCACTGAATCAATCCACCTCATAGAGGGCCTTCCTCTCCTGCGCTGTCCCTCCACCCTCCCAAGCATGATGTCCCTCTCTAAGGACCGGTCTCTCCTCACAACATGTCCAAAGTATGTTAGACAGAGCTTCAGAATCCTTGCCTCCAAGGAGCCACCTGGTTTAACCCTTTCCAGGACAAATCTTCACATGAGAAAAGGGACCACAACAGGAGGGTGGAGTGGAGGCTGCCAGCTATTTTTACACACAGTGCCCTCTGCTGCCTAAAAATGGCTACATATCCTTTTTTTTTTTTAAATCAAAGTTTACAAGTCATGTCAATTTTCATTCAGTCATTCACACACATTTTGTTTTAGAATTACAAATGATGACATTTTCTTGTAGTAGCCATTTTCAATAACCTGATGTTAAATACAAGCTGTCAACCATTTGTGAATTTTATCTAGAATGTTTTAATTTAAAACAGCATGTAATTTATATGCTTCTTTGCATCAAAGAGATGCTAGAAATAAGGTCATACATGTGATTAATGATGGTCATAAACTGAGTCATGTGCACATCAGCTACACAGCTTAAACAGAGCCACCTCTCCTATTCTTGTGGCCTGCTGGACAATCAGCTCTGCGGACCAGTTAATATACTTGCGCTTAACTTTGGGACAGATGGTTCTTCCATGAGTTAGAGCAGAGCTGGCCAACCAACATACCAAACAGTAGGCAGAACTGAGGCAGAAAGATGCATTTCACAAGTTTTAGACAGATCCAAATGAAGCAACCTCTCTGTTCAGGACATCAACATGAAATCTAAGTCAATCCAAAATGGACATGCTCTGATCTTAGGAAATTAACAATGGTTGATTTCTTTAAAGAATGCTGGGCAGAGACATTTGAATAAATCCTCTCAAACAGAAAAGGAGTCCATCGACAGAATTTTGCTGAGGCGTCTCAAGGTATTTTATAACTGCACTGAGTGGCACTGAGAGCGAGGCTGAAGCACAATTTCAAGGTTTGCCTCCAACAACCAAGTCCACTTGAGACCACAGGAGTATCATGCAAGAGTTGGGTACAAAACAACAGAGCTTGTTTCTAAGGGAAAATGGTGTAAAAAGAACTGCTCTAGAAAGGAGAAAAAACAAAGAAGTGCAGGCACTAAATGGAAAGTCCTGGATCATCCAGGCAGATCAATAACTTTGTGAAAAGTAATAAAACAACAACAAAAAAAATCATAGGGCAATACTCAGAACTCAAGCTATGCAGTTGTTAAAACATTTAACTGCATAAGAACAAAAAGAGAAATAGCACTAAATGAGTCAGAACAGAAATCTTTTTGCCTGCTGTTTTATAAAGAACTAATTCATGTATTTAGGTGAGTGACAAACTATATTCATGTAAGGAGAAGTAAACAGCATTAAAGCTTAAAATTACTAATGTTAGCAGCCTCCCATGAATGTATTACTACTAATTATGAAATAAAATGTTGTCAGGCTTGGGAGTTATAAATGCTTATAAGAATGCACACATAACTTCATAAAGTCAGTAAAATGTTCCCTAATATGAGTACAAATTTGAGATATTTAACAGTTTTAGTTTATTTGGCTCCACAATCAACACTCTTGGTAACAGCAGCCAGGAAATCAAGAGATGAAGTGCATTGGGAAAGTCAGCTGTGAGGGACCTCTCAAGAGTACTGAAGAGCAACAACATCAGGCTGGAGACTAAGGTGCACCTGATCGAGGCTATAGTCTTTGCACTTACGTGCTATGCATCAGAGAGTTGGACAGTGACTAGGGATGATAAAGAATTGATGCCTTTGAGCTGTGGTGCTGGAGAAGAGTGTTGAATATACAATGGACTGCTAGGAGAACAAACAGGTTTGTCCTGAAGAGGGTGAAGCCAGAATGCTCCCTGGAGTCAAGGATTCTGAGGCTTCGTCTGACATACTTTGGGCATGTTACAAGGAGGGACTGGTCCTTGGAGAGGGACATCATGTTTGGCAGAGTGGAGGGACAGCACAGGAGAGGAAGACCTTCGATGAGATGGATTGATTGTATGAGTGGAGTGGTGGGAATGAGTGTGTTTCTGATGGCTAGGTTGGCACAGGATAGAACAGCGTTTAGAGTTCTTGTACATAGGGTCGCTATGAGTCACAAGTGACTCAATGGCACATAACAACAACATCAGTAGAGCAGTACAGCAAATAATGGTGGAAGACTAATAAAGGTATCAATTCATATATAGCACGACTACCATGAGACCAAAAGAACTGGATGGTGCTTGGCATCTATTACTAAATAGTTTTAGTCAAGATTCTATATAAGTATCATGATCAAAAGGGGGAAATGTAGAACAGAACCAGAAATCATCAAGGACTGTAGACTTTCTAGAGCCATGGAGCCTAGGTCAATCCCTGAAACTACTGCTCTAACAGAATCTTTAAAATAGAACTAAAATATCCCCTGAAGTCCTCTTAAAACCAAACAACAGTTTAACTTAATGAGTAGAAAACATCTGCTTTGAGCATTAAGCTCAATTAAGCTTTTAAACCATCTAGATAAGATCCTTCTATATGGAACCAGAAGATTAGACAGGAGGGATAAGAGGGGAGAAAGAACTTACAAAAGGCTGAGTGAGAATGGCTGTACCCCTCTCTAAGAATGTAATCGGTGTAACCGAATTAGGCAAGCAGACCTGGTGAGCTGTTGCGTTCTGCTTTATTCTCAACAATAAAAACATTTTAAACCTAAGAAACATAAACAAAAAGATACTGCCTCACCACATAACCATGTTTGACCATTATTCCAAATTCATTACTCAAGGAAGAATCAAATTAGCTCAAGTAATTTGGCTTACTTAATTCAAATGCCATAATATTTTCGATTTCTTTCACTATGTCTTGGGAAAAGGGTAACAAATAAACTCACTGTACCTTTCAGTCAGATTAGCACTGGTATTGTGGAAGAGTCGTGTGTCTAGAAAACAAAAAAGAGAAAGTTAGAACAAAAGTTATTTTACCATGATAGATAAAAGGTTTATGTCATAACTAAAGCAGAAACAATGTGCTGAAAATCTGTATGTAGTGAAGAAAAAAATTGAACTGGAAACAATGAAGTTGGAAATTAAAATATTAGACTAAGAAATGAATTTCCAATGAACTAAAAGGAAAAAGTTTAATCCAGGAGTCAAGGGAAAAAAAATTTAAAGTTAATATTTCCCTCCTCATGTTTAAAGATGAAAACACTCATGAAGAATGTTTTTGTCCTATTCTTATCAAGCTTCCATTTCCAGAAGCCATCAGAGATGACATCACAGAAAGAACTTAAAACAGGAGATGAAATGTCCATGTTTCTATATTGGAAATTTAGCTAATGTGTCCTTGATATTTTCCTGAGAATTTCTAGAAATAGTTTAGTAGATGAGAGACCTCTTTTTGCTCCTGGCCCTGTTGCTAATCTGGGGTGAGACCTCTGGTTTTTATTTACTCATCTGTGAAATGAGAGAGCTGGAAACAGTCCCTAAGATCCTTTCCAGGATGATTCTGATAAAATGTGGAAGTCAGAGTAGATGCAATCTGCCTTGTTCCATGCTGATCAGATCATGAACCAAAATGAGTTATTATCATTCTAAAGGAAGCTGGCAAAAAAAACAGAACAAATAAATACTACCGTTACTTTTCTTTACCACGTTAGTAAATTTCGAGATACCTCAGGATTTAGAAGAGTCTCCCTCACGTACTAATAAATGGTTTACAATTTTCAGGAGATTAGGAATTATTTTCCACATGTGACTCCAGGTATACAAGTTGTTCAAGCTTAGTACCTGTTGCTACCATGTGGACCCTGTATATCCCTTTCCTTTGCAGTTAAGATTGAAGGATTTCTGAGACCACAATAAGTAAAACATTATTATATTATTATAAGTAAAATAATAAGTACAACTCAAAGACGTTCTAGAAATAGATTATGAACATTAGCAATTCTTAAATTCCTAAATTATTTTCGAGTCTGGGTAGCAATATAAAATTACAGTTATTAAGTATATAAATAACAAAGGGGCACATAATGCATAGAAATGTAAAAACAAGTTCCAAGCTGTCAAACTATTGCCTTGTACGCGTTCTCCCTTTCCCTATCTGGGAATTCTCTTCTACGTTATGTGCATGGTCTAGTGAAAGCCAAAGACCGGCATAGGGAGAGCAAGATTTCGGATCTGTTTCCTAGTTCTGGTCTGTGAGATAGAAAGCTGCCAGGACTTAACCTCATGATGCTTTCATCTACTTAAGCAAAAACCCAAGAGGATGCTTAGATCAGTGGCTTTAAAATCCTTTCTATCATGGTGCATTAAGATACAAGTAGCATTAAGTTCTTCTAGCCACTAGGATAAAATGACATTTTTAGTATTAATCTAATAAATGACCATCTCTAGACATTTAAACAAGAAGAAAAAAAAATTACATGATGGATAAATACAGACTTGAACTAAGAAGAATAGATTTCTGTTGAATTAATAAAAGAACAAATATGCACCTAAGGTACTGGAAGAATCTATGACTCCTATAATTTCTCCTTTTTTTTCAGTGCTGAAAACCGCGTTTAGTTACAATGACCACCTTTACTGTGATTCCGAAAACAGTGATTCATTTATTCACGTCTCTAACATTCTTTTGTGTCAAACTGTTAGAACATGGAAGAGTATGAAACAACTATAAGTTATTTTCATCATTTAATTATAGGTAAACACAATGACATATCATTTAAGTTAGTATGTGAAGCATGACCGTAAATGAGTAGAACACTTCAACTAGGTTCCTTTCGGGCACAAGATAACGTGCAGGTTGACTGTACAATATTCAGAGGTCGTTAGCTGGGACCACTGTTTGCACATGGTGAGTACTTCTCAGTGTGCACTAACACATTTACCGAGCTCCTGGTCGGTAAAGTCAAGGTGTTTTGACTCACAGTGACCCCATGGAATAGAGAACTTTCCCACGGGATTTTCTAGGCTGCAGTGCTACAGAAGCGAATTGGCACGGCGTCCGGCATTCTTTTAGAGAAATGCTGGGTGGGTTCATATGAATCATCTTTTGACCGCAATTGTGTATTTAACCACTGCACCACCAAGCTCCCTATGTTATACACAGGCATGCACACATTGTGATTTCCTAAACTGTTAGGTTTGGAAAACACAAAATATTGAAAAACGCCCTGGAAATAACACAATGTATACATTAGCCTTTAAACCTGCTTTTCCCACAGTTTCTCATGTGATCGTGGATTAATCCCTTTTCTCTACTCTACCACACACCCATTTCCTGGCTTACTCTTGTGTGATGTCAAGAGGGAACTGACCCATAACTGATCCTCTAGCGGGTTTTCAGAAGCAGTAAATCACACAAGAGACTGCCCATCCTTCTCCCACATAACTCCTATTGGTACCTTTAACTTTAAGAAGTACATTTCGAGGTACATTGAATACATCTATTTATACAAAGGCTTCAGGTATTTTGTTCATAGGGTCGCTGTGAGTCATGCTCAACTTCACGGCAATGAAAAACAACAACAACAACAACATGTAGGTAACCAGCTTCTATAATTTTACGATGCCATCATATAGGTTAACTAGGAAGCTAGTGCTGATACAGGATTGTAATTTTTTTATCAGTGGTTGGTTGAAGTGCCATGCTGATTTGACAATTTCCCAACATATTACAAAAGCTTTGAGAATTTCAAAATTTTAAGTGTATTTCACAACTTCTTCCCTACTCAATTTTACCAATTTGTGGAATATTTTTTAGTAGGGATGAACACTGAGAACATCTGCCCTGACTACAGAA